TAAAATTATTTTTTTAAAGAATTAATTAATATCCAGTACTTGGTTTATCGTATTATTTGTATGTATTAAAATAATTTCTAAGGAGTTTTATCAATATCCATCAACAAACTAACAACATCATGCTCTTATTTCTTCAAGAACATAAAATATTCAAAATTTTGATTTTGACCCCGGTTTTTAGAGGGTTAATGATTTTTAATTTCTTAAATTTGATATGAAATAACATTAAAATTGATTTTTTTTTAATTTGTCTAAAATTTTAATAAAAATGAGAAAGTGTGCATGTATGTATATTCTCACAAAATATTCGTTATTCGAATACTTTTAAAAATAATAAAACAATTAAACGAGGGAGTTCAGACCATAATTAACCCAAGTCCCCATTAAACATCCTCTTCTAAAAATCTCCCTGATGGTGACTTCTCTTTAAATGTTATAAATTTGTTATTTTTTAAACAAAATTTTATGTTTTTCATTTAAAAACAAAAACTTCGGGTTTACCAAACTTTCAAAACTGAACAAAGTTTGCCGAAGTTCGGGTTTGCTTTTTAATATAGGGTAATCCCCATACATATGCTTTCAAAATCTTGTCATGAAAATGCCATCATTGTATACGAAATGTATGCCCTTTGGCATATATATATCCACTTTGAATTATGTTTGCCAATCTTACACATTAAATAACGCCCACTGTGCACAGTAGGAAACCAAATTAAAATAAACATTGGTGGAAACATAAAAATGACCAACATTACAAACATTTAATTTGTAAAATTTGTTTAAAGCCAACCCCAATCCCATGCCATTCGTCTCTAGCTAGATAAGAAGAAAAATGGAAAAGAAGGAAACTTAATTTAGCATGTAATAAGTCACAACAATGTTTCCTTTACATGTTGGCTTGGAAGCGTGCGTTTAAATGTTTGTTCCCAGTGTTGACACGTGAGTTAATCTGTAAATACACAGTTATTGGTAGACAGGGCTAATACCTCTTCCTCCTGCTGCTACTCCCTTGCAGTATTATTACAAGTGAATTGTGTGTATTTGAGTAGTTAGGCCTTTCCACAATTATTTCATTTTTAGGTATATTAGTGTGTATGTGTGAGCATTTGTAAATTGTTTATGGAATATAATAAAATTAACTTATCCAAAAAAGGCTTTTGTACACCCCGTCTCCTTTTGTATTTCCATTTTATTTGTTTTTTTTTTTTTTTTCTGTTTCTAACCAAATTTGATGATGTTAAAAGATTTAAGATAAATATCTCTTCTATTTATGTTCTGTTTACAGTATTTATTGGTTGTTATATTAAATTTTACTGTTTCTTATTTAAAATTTGCAACATGTTGCTGTGTAACTGTTGCAATGTCACGTGCTAACCAGTATAAAAAACGACATGTGTATGAAGACAACTTTATGAATTTTTTATGATTAATTTATTTTAAGATTTTTATTTGGTGTTTCTGTATGAAAATCACGAGTACGAACAACAGAAGAACAGAACGAACATACAATGTATGAAAAAGAAACTGTTTTTCAATTCCCTAAACTATTATTAAACTATTGAAGATTTCCTTAGGAAGTGTTAATATACTTATATCCCTGTAGTAACAAAATTAGAAAAAATAATATATTGCAGATTATTTTCTTATTAAAAGCCAAAAGTTTTTGTTCTTTATTTGCTAAGCACCCTGTCTCCCAACAACATGATAAATAGCTTGTATTCATTGCTGTCTTAATGTTACATTAATAGACTAATTTCTCGCAACAATAAATCACAAATAGATTTATAGCTCACTGACTTATACTCACCCTAATATTGACTCCAATTTTATAGATAATTTGGAGTAGGAAAAATACAAAAAAGATCCGACGGGAGAATTGATTAGAATGCTGCATTCATATGTACATACTATACATGTATGTACATATATGCACACAGAGAATACATTTTGGAGGACATGGTTATAACAATCATTCTAACACTATTCCAAGAAATTCACTTGTCGCAACCATATTATGTTGACTATGATAGCAGCAAACGTGTACATGTTTGTCACAATCACTGATGATGCTCTTAAAAGGAATATCATTATTTAAGAGCAACATAACACGGTTATAGTAGTCGTTTTTTCACATAACCTAACCAACAATATTTTTTCTCTTCGAGTGGCCAGTTTCTAAACGAAATGTATACATAAACTAGTAGTTTGAATACTTTTAACCACAACTCGGTTTTTGGCTTGTTAGTATGTTGTGCAACAAACCAAATTCTAGTTAACATAAACTGCAATCTACCAATTTACACAACATATTTTTGTCAAACATTGACAAAACGTTGTCATTACATTGCTGTTGTTTTCCTTTCTTCTTTATTATTTTCAATAAAACCACTGTAACCATAAAGGCAGACAGACATTCCGTTTTAGATATTTGAATTTTGCTTTTCGAAATATTTTTTAAATCAAAATTAAAAAGAATGTGTGTATGTATAGTATTATCTGCCAGTCCCATAAACTATTCTGTTATAATTTACATTTAAAGCCAAAATTTATATTTTATGAAAATCACATAAAGTCAAATTTAATCATACACCGAATACTATGGAAATATGTATGTTTTATAGAAATGACTACCGAGGGTAAAAATGGCAGCAATAAGAAAACGAATAGTACATGTACATTAGGATGGCCCAAAAATAATAGCTGCTTGAAGTTTTTTCTGATGTTCGTGCAGGGGTTCTTATATTTCATAAAGCGATTTATGTCTTCGTCCAAATTTATAAAATTACATATTTGGAAACCTAAAGCGTAATCATAGTCAACATTGAGCATAAGAAAAATTAAAAATTGTTGAAAAAAGTGACGGGTTTTTACTTTAATGACCATTACGTCATAAATAATTGAATTTGTTACACTTTTGCCTTTAAAATAAATGAACACATTTGAAAATCGGTTTTAAGTTATTTTTTTTTAAGAATGGATATTTATAAATATTTTGATTTCACTGCTTTTGCTATGAAAATGTTCAATATTTTTAAACTACTGCAAAAGATCTTAATATGCTACTGAAAGCGCCCTTCATAATATCAAAATTTCATATCATTCCTTCGGGTAAAATATGAAGAAATGGAAAAATGCTGAAAAGACCTGTTTACCCTTTGACCCAATTGATTGATCCAAGACAAAAATTATAAGAAACGGTAACTTAGAATTAACTTTCGTTATCGGTGAGAATATCCGTACCATATCTTTTTATATAAATGGACACCCTAATGTACAAACACATACATACATATATTTTTTGCAACCAACAACGAGGAAATTGTTAAAGAAACAGAAAATGTCAGATAGGGAATTCTACGGTTGAAACAGGGTGGATACTGGCTGCATGGCGTTAAAGAGAAGAGATTTTCTTTATACGACAATACAGCTTCATTCAATAGGTTTTGTTAGGTGTTTTTTATTTCATTTCTGTGAATTTTATACAAGCTCATACACATAAACGAAAATACTTATACGTAAGTAAAAGCTAGAACTGCAAACACACATGAACTTAATATGGCATAATATAAAAGTGGGTGTTTTATATTTCTCTGTGGTTTAGATAAATGTCCAAAGTTTTTTTTGGAAAATATCTTGCTTTTACCGTTGTAAGAAAATACTTAAGACAACAGGTGGCTAATTTTCTAGCCTAAAACTAAATTTTAGTGGTAGAGTTAACAAATAACAAATAAGTTTTTTTAAACTTAAATTTTCAATATTTATTTAAAGTTATGTGGAATTTTTTCTTTTGTGATTAAATGTATGTTGGGACATTTATAGTAGAATACATTAATAAATTTATTTTACAACACATACAAAAATTATATTTTATATTAAAATCGAACACTTTGACTCCTAACTGATTCCAACTTGGATCAAAGGCATGAACTAAGGAGGAGAATTTCACAATACTTGTTTCACAATACCGCTATCAAAAATAGCTAACTTTAAAGAATACAATAATAACGTGAGCTAAAACAAAATAAAATCAACATTCGGATACAATTTGATAAATGGTTTTTAATAATTGTAAATCAATGTTAATTCTAAAAGTACAACATAATAATGGCCACTGTCACACCACCATGCCGCACTCTACAAAGCAATATTTTTACTCTTTCCCCCAAAGCATCTGCTCAGTGACAAGTACAACGACACCAATATCAAATAGTCATAAGTTGAGAAAATGACAGAGTGTTAGTTAACTGTGCACCATCCTGAGGGGAGAATGGGTTTATTCACATGGTGTTATTGGTGATTCTATGGCGTTAAAGACAAAAAATTAGTTTGATTTTAGGCTTAAAATGTCATTCTAAAGGCTTTAAAAGAATTATCCTCATAGCAGGAGGGGAGAAGTTTAGTTATTTTGTTGTTATTTTTTTATTATTTTGCTATTGCATTGTTAATAAAATTAGCATATAAATTAACTTTATCATGCACACATTATGATGTGGTTTATTTAAATATCACACAAACATAATATCCCTGCGTTTATTGTTAGACAACACAAAAACAACAACAAAAACAAAAACAAGTCATCAGAAATTATTGACATCTATTTTATGTCGGTTATAATCCTTTTTTTTTCCATTGTCATCTTCTCTAAATCCATGTTATTTTATTTTAGTTATGAAATGTCTATTTAAAAGGATTTAAATAAATATTTCCGATTTAGACCGTTTTAGCTTAGCTCATTAGTATGCCTGTGCATGCCCGACTGTAAATCAATCTACCAGGATTAAGTGTGATAGTGATGACGATGTTGACAACATAAACTGCCAATGACTTGACTTCAAACGAAAAGCAAATGTGGGGTTTGTTAACATATTAAAGTTACATTTAACTATTTAAGAGCTTTACTCTACTATACATACATATATTCCTGAACACGCTTTTAGAATAATAAACAGTTGGTAAACAATATATATGATTCCCACACTACATATTCCAAATTTACTCACCTGTACTCTTGATTCCGTCAATCCAATTCGCATTGCAATTTCTTCCCGCATAAATATGTCGGGATAGTGAGTTTTCGAAAAACATCTTTCCAGTTCATTTAATTGTGCCGGTGTGAAACGCGTTCGATGGCGTTTCTGTTTATTATTTTTATCCGAATTCTGCAATAAATTTAAATTACACATTAATATTTTCGATGTTTATTTTAGGATTGGGAGTATTGTCGGAAAAAAATAACATGCAATATAATTTAATTGTTAATTTACACATTTAGGGTACCATTCCATATATAAACTTTAAAATCATAGTTTATTAAGTTAAAATTACTTCATAGAAACTTGAATTGTAATTGAATTTTAAATATTTTAATCTTGTTTGTAAGTATTGTTTAGAATTTTGTCAAAATATTAAAGAACCTTAAAGATTTGATTCAGTTTAGACATCGTCTGAGGGACGCTCGTCATAGTTTAAAGGGAGCTTTTCTTTCAAATATTTACTTATGTTACTCTGGATCCTAGTAAAAATCTATGCACAATAATATCAAAGGTTATGTTTTTTTTTCGAATTTGTAGTACGTCATATTAATTTTTATCGAAATCTGTAACTCCAATTAATGTTATTTAATTTGAATCTAAATCTAAAATTTTCTTTTTCTTGTGTCCGACTATAGTGAATGGACAATGTGGTTTTCTAGGAAAACAAGTAGATACACATACATACATATATACATACATATTATGTATGTACATTTATATAAAAAATTAAAAAAAAAAACAATAATAATGGATTCGTTATAAATATGTATCTACAACAATATGTATTTATAAAATAGTTCTTAAAGGTAATCACACTTACTTTTAAATTTTTTTGTTTTTTGTAATTTTTTTATGGAAAAGTAGTTTTGCAAGCAGTCAAGTATATCGATAGTTAATATACATTAAATTTTTTAAATATGCGTATATAAAGACATTTATATAGATCCACATCAGAGCATAATATACATTTACAGATGCACATAAATTGTTATGAATTAAATTTGAACACGTTTTTTTTTGTCGTAATGATTTTTTTTTAATTTTGTTTTTATGTTAAAGGATTAAGAGTAGAAAAAACACCAAGGAAGAAAAAAACGAAAAAAAAACATTAATTATTTTATATGAAATTGTGTTTAAAAATAATGAGGGTTCTTAAAAACTCACCTGATCTTGCTGTTGCATAGTGTTGTTGTTATTATTATTGTTATTAGTGTTATTGTTATTATTGTTACCAAGTGAATTTTGCGTATCGCATAAATTACTGGAAACATGTAAACGACCACTAACGCCACCACCACCATTCAATGAGATGTCATTATTGTTGGGCGGACCATTTGATATATGTCCGAAACTATTGACACCGGCATGTAGTGCAGACAGGGCGGCTTTTGGTATATCACAATCTTTGGGACCTACAAAAAGAGTAATATTGATATACGTTAATAATTCAATCCTAATCGACAGCTATTTGTGTCAAGAGTTTCGTAACTCTAAAATCTTAGTTTCTGGTAAAACTATTTTAAATGTAGTTATAATAGTTCAATTTATAATTTATAATCATTTGACGCCGCCTATAAGTTTGCATTAGACATGAAAACTTAGTATTTTGTTTAATGTTTCTTTTCTTTTAAATTCAACAAAATATGATTAGAACCAAAGATTCTAGCGAAATGTTAATTTAGTTAATTTGGAATTAAAAGCATTTTTCGAGCCAAAAAATTAAATGTCCATAATTCTCAAGGACAATTGCAAAATGTTAACCCTTAATAAAGTATATTTCATATTGCTATAAATGACTGTGATTATGAAAATTATAGTGCAACCATACCTTATATTAAAATGTATGTTAATTATACATACATATGTATGTATGTATGTAGGTGGTAACTATATATATATTTGTACAATGTAAAAATTTCTTAAAGTCTGGCTGGATATTCACTAAAATACGTCGCTTTTATTTTGTGTATGTATTCTTGTTTCGTTAACAATAAAAATTCACTTTTATTTTTGTTTTGTATCCTTATATTTTATTAGTATATAATTCATGTATCTATTTGAACGTACACATGTATATGTATTTGTTTTATCATTTATATTTTAATATTTGCAATCACACTATGATTTCGTTTGTATATAATCACAAACTCTCATACCAATACATAGAAACTGATTAAGTTTACGGCAAAAAAATAATATTAATCACGAAATACAAAATGTACGTAAATTTAGTATTATTTTTATTTGATTTCTTTTTTATTTGGAAATCCGTCATTTAAAATTTGTGGAGTGATGCCGCGCGTATGTATCTCACTTAACTGAAATGTTCAAGTAAATTGAATTTTTCAACAACCTGTCATTCAAAAGATGCCAAAAACACCAGTAGAAAAAAATGGAAAATAAATCATACACACACAAACATACACACATTCATGGCACTCAAACAGACAGATATATAAAGTATCTGTAGAAAAAAAATCTCGCTATAAAACAAATGTAAATTCAAATAAAACAAAAAGATACAAACAAATAAAAAAATAACGTCAGTCAGGCAGTTTAGTGACTGTAAGTGAAATAAACGTGTACGAGATACATTCGTAGAGGTGAGATTTGAAACCTGTGTAATTTCACAAAACGTTAAAAAGGGGTTAGTTTCGCAGTCAAAACACAAACACAAACTCATACATTCTATGTCACACATACAGTTCGTTAACTATCTAAATACCAGATACAACTACGATTACTGCCACAATTTCTTCCAATGTTGTCTGCGGATGGTGCTGCTGCTGTTTTATTTAACTAAGCAAACACGATATGGAATAGAAGAACGAAGATCCATCATTAAATAATCTAAAGTTTTTCTCAATACCAGAAAAACATTTAAACAAATCGCACATCTACATCGAAATACACCTTAAAACTAAAGGCTAGCAAACAAACCAAATAACTTAAGCCCAACAACTTCAATATCAGCAGGTTAGTATCTTACAGAACGCGAAAGAGTTTAAAATTGATTTCTTTTAGATCGTCAGTCAGTTTGTTGTTCTGTCAGTTAGCCCGTCCGGGAATATTTTTTAACACATACATGTGATCGATTCTTGTTGTTGTTTCTTTTCTGCCAAGTCAACAAAGTAAATTGTTGAAAACAACTGAAGAAGTAAAATATAGAGGAAATGAAAAAAACTAATATTTTATTTATTTTTCAACTCTTTGGTATTGAAAAATGTACAAAGAGCAACAACAAAACTCATACTCATACATACATACATACAATATTTTTAAACTAAATCAAACATTTGCACATCGCTAGTAGTTGTGAACTCACGCCTGTATGACGACAAATGTTACTTTTTTTAAATCTTTTTCATAATCGGTGCTCACACACAGATACTACAAGGGTATAAGTATGTATTAAAAAAGCACAGTTCACTTCTTAGCGATCAGTTGTTTTCTAAGTCAGAAATCAAGTTACAAAGAAAATGCATTATTCATGTATTTTTCACTTCACTTTAGTTTGTTTTATTTCAATTATTTTAAAGCAATCCCACATTTGTAGTTGTGTTTATGTGTTTGTTGCTTTTTTATTTACTTGTGAGTGTAGGTGCAAAATCATCAATCTGTTTGTATTGTTGTAGATTTTAAAGTTTGGTTGGTAAGAAATACCATTTTACTAGCAGAAGTTAGTGAAAAGCAATTAAGAAAGTATTGTCGGGCATGATCATATGATACCCTACATTAATTTTAGGAAAAATTTTAATATCAAAATTTTTGGGAATTGGTCTTTATATGGGGCCTAAATATTTCTATAAATTTCTTAAGGAAATTTAGTTTAGAAATAACTTTATTCCATAAAATTTGTTGTATCTAAATATATAGTATGATCTTTAAAGCGTTTTTGTGACAAATTTCATAAAAATCATTTTCCGATAGGCACCTTGTACGGGGGATTGGATTAAATGTTGTTAACATTTCTATAGTATACTATAGATTTTCTAATGTCAATTGTGATTACAATTGCTACATATTCAAGAATGCGACCTGTACAAGGTTTACATGGACAGACAGACGAACGGTCATGGTTAAGTCGAATCAGTAAACAATTCTGAACTCTCCCTACTATAGTGGAGTAGGTTATAATAAGCTTCAAATTATTTAAAAAAGTTGTACAAAGAAATAGTAAATATTTATGTAGTTAAAAAATGTACTGTGTTTATTATAAGTAACAAGTTTTTTACTTAACGAGCAAACGTCAATAATACATTTTTAAATTCAAAATAAGTAAAAAATCACATTTTTAATAAAAATTGTAGATGTACATACATACATACATACATACAAACATACATACATACATACATACATACATACATACATACATACATACATACATACATACATACATACATACATACATACATACATACATACATACATACATACATACATACATACATACATACATACATACATACATACATACATACATACATACATACATACATACATACATACATACATACATACATACATACATACATACATACATACATACATACATACATACATACATACATACATACATACATACATACATACATACATACATATATCCCAAAATTATAAAATTTACAAAATTCCAAATATTTGGTTTCCCTGTTTTTAAAGTCAGTTTTTTACTCACAATAACTTTACAAAACATAAATAACAAGCGATTTGTATCCATTAAATAAAAGTTTGCTACACTCAACCAAAGCAAACCAAAATATTTAAAATTTAACTTGATTCTTTAGTATATTTTATGACAGGTTGTTTGGTTACCTGTCGAATATTGACTACTGTTTATGATTGGCCCATAAACGGCGCCTTTGTAGTTTATGATGCATTTTAAGATCTCAAATTGATGTTAAAATAATTTTTACGTGTGTTCTTAAGCGGCGTTTCGGCATTTTGTTTGATGATAAAAAAAAGAAAAAGTGTTGAAAACATGTGGATTTCAATGATTGCAATTGTTACACTAAAAAAACAATATTCTTTAAATTAGTAAGATTCCTTTGACTATATAGATTAAATTTGTAATTTTTTTAAAGTTATATTCATAATAACGAGCAGTGACGCTATCAGAAGTACTAGATTGAGAGACATTGCACTCCATCAGTGTTGCCAGGAGATTCAGAAAAAATGGCTAAATCGGAAAAAAGGCCAGAAAAGGCTAAAACGTTTCAAAAATAAGGCAAGAAAAAGGCTAACTTTTCACTCTTTAAAATCTGTATGTGTAATTCTTAGATATCCACAGCTAATGACTGTTCTAACTCAATCTTGGATCAAATTGAGTTTTTGATGGCTAATGATTCCTCAATGCATTTTATATAAATTTCAGATCAAAATATTAATTTAGTACTTTTTGTGTCTGTTATATGTATGTTATTTTACTATCGCAAAGTAGAATATTTTTTTCACAATAATTTTACAAAAAAACAATAATAATAATAAGAATATAGAGTCTGGCATGGCCGACCATATGATACCCTACACCAGTGCGTATGTTAAAAATGTGGATTATTTTTTTATAAAGCATTTAAGTTTTTTATCTAAACTCCGAAATATTTTAATAATTTGTTGTCAAAAAAGAGATTTTCCAAAAGATGTGTTATTTACCAATAGATGTTTTAATTTTCTGAACAAAATTATTTTCGCTTTTTATCGAAATAAGTGTACAAATTTTCGTAATTTTTGTTATACAAAAAAATATTTGAAAAATTGTTTGGGCCTTTTAAGAATTTTGCCCACCGGAAACACTCTAACAAAAACAATTTTATTTATGTATACCAATTATTGAATTTAGAGTGTTATAATTCTTTCTATGTACGATATTTTATTGCTTACTATTTATATACATATTGTCATTCCCTTTAAACATATAAAAAACTCGTGGTACCAATGAATAGAAGTTTATATGAGACTGTTGTAATCCATCTTATCTTCAATAGAATATCAACAATCTATCATATGTACATCCAACATTCATTAAGCATTTCAATATTCATATCTACGTAATAATACGGACATACTTCTGGCTGAAAACGCGATTTATATGGATTCAAGTTACCAGACAAGTGCTAATTTTTACACATACACCAATCTTGGCTACTGTTAATTAGCGTTTTCCTTCGTCTTCGACTTATCTTCTTTATTCAACAATTATAAGGTAATAGGCGATGTGTCATAAGAAAAGATGGAATAAGTAGATGCTACATTCTGGTGCAAAAGCATAGCGAATGCATTGAAGAAATGTCATTTAATGTAAGTCATGATGTATCTATGAAAGCATATACCTACATACGTACAGACATAAATGTGTAAGTTACATATTCAAAATAAATGAGGAATATAGAACGTCTACGACAGATACTAT